TTGTAAAAAAACACCCACCCCCCCGCCATTCGCATTCCTTGATCCCGTCGTCTGACTTTGTCATATAGGACTGAGACGAGGAATAGGCAGTAACATACTAGCCATGTCGAAGCTCTTCATAGGGTGAGCACTGATCAACTCATCACAATTCCCCTCTCCGTCATGAACCGTCCCCACAGCGCCGTATCGCTGGCGCAAGCAGCCACGAACTGACAATGCAAAAAGCGGCCTAGCATGGCATACCGAAGAGGCCACTCTTCGTCAGAAATTCGAAGAGTTTGGCGCTGTTGAAGAAGCGGTATGTTTGGTTAATTTCCTTGTTGTGTTTCAGAATCGTTAACACGTGTTTGTGTGTGTGTGAATCGTTGTCGCTCTTCCCACCGCTCGATAGCATCTCCTTCTGTTTAAAGTGCGTGAATATGATCTTCTAATATTGAGTTTGCTCTGCGCAAAGGTGGTGGTCAAGGATCGAGATACTGGTCGCAGCCGCGGCTTTGGCTTTGTGCGCTACACCCAAGAGAATGTTGCCCAGAACGCTATAGCTGCAATGAACAACGTCGAGTACGAGCCCCTTTCGCTTCTTTGTTGTCACGGACCGAGTGCTTGATTGGTCGCTTGGGTTGGGCTTCTTTCTGATATTGCTTTAGATTTGACGGTCGAGCGATTCGTGTGGACAAAGCTTGTGACAATAGCCCTCGCGGAGGGTATGGGGGTGGTCGAGGAGGAGGCTCAGGATTTGGAGGACGGGGAGGTTATGCAGCGCCAATGCCTTATGGTTTTCCGCAGCAGCATCCTGCTTATCCAGTCGTCGCCGCTCCTCAGATGTACGCGCCAGTAGCATACGGCCGTCCTTACCATCAACAGCCGGGATATGGCATGCCTCCTCAGGGTAAGTCGATCCAATCTTCCGACCAATTATTCCTCCTCCTGCGGCGAATACGCTGACAATGAGTGCAGGATACGGCGTTCCGCAATATGGATATGGAGACCTTTCTCAGCAGCAACCAGCTCCCATGCCTCAGCATCAGCCTCCCCCTCAACCACCCCCTCAAAGTGGAAGAGGATACTAATGTTGGTGTCTGGACAAAGCGCGTATGATCCCATGTTGCTGGCATAAGAGTTCGCCAATGAAGGGCTAAATAGTGTTTCGTACCTTCGACTCTCTCTCGACATGCGATCTTCACAAGGAGTTTTGGGTGTGGTGTAACGGCAAGGGTAAAGGACGAGGGCTTGGAGAAACCGGGCAAACCCCCGGTCAAATGTCCCGATATCTGGACTGGCCGGCCATCCAGGCATTTTGGTTAGCTTTCTGTACATTGGCGCCAGCTCAATTAGAGCTGCATGTTCACTTCGTTACCGTGTTTTAGTGCATCTTTTCGTCTTATTTGTCTAGGGACAGTGTCCCTTTCCTGCCTATACTTTGAGCATCCGAAGAGGATTGAATTTGTGCACTGAGAAAGAAACGACGGCAATGCGATAATGGTCTATAACTACCTGCCAAATGCGACATAAAAAAAGTGACGGCCAACAAATTCGATAGTGACGATGATAAACAAACGATGCTGAGGTACAGGTTGCATCTATTGGGCTGAGGGGAAGGAATAATATTTGAGCGGGAAGGGCTAGTCTTTATTAACTGTTCGAAGAAAGTGAAAGGTTAGGATTCAAAGAGGTGTTCCTCGCTCCGTGGGGTTGTTTGTAAAAATCATGCCATGTCCAAATGTATGCGTCTATTCCAAGTCAGTAGGCCCCCTGTATCCCTATTGCCGAGAGAAAAGAAGACGACGTCCTGAGGTAAGTTCCGATTCGTTCGGGTCTAGGACGAAGTTCCATTGACCGAGTGCTCGAGTGCTCGAACGCGCTGTGCCAAGTCGCTGACATGATAATCTCCGCTATCCGGGGACAATTCATTGAGGGCAGTGTCGAGGCCGTAAAGGTAGTCTTTGTTCAGACCGCTTGGTCCTTTGCTGTTGAGAATGTGCTGTGCCAGCTTCTGGGGATCTTGAGGGCCGACAAACTGCTCATTATCAGGAGTGCCAATGTACACTAGAGTCTGCATTGGCGTGGACCCGTCGGCGGGATAAAAAGGTGTATAGTGGATGGAGTAGCCGTTGATCTCTCTAATATCCAGATATTCCTTGACTTCAGACACCTTTTCCGGCACAATACGATATGCAACGCCCCAGACCTTTTCTGGCGCAGAATCATGGTGGTCTGTTAACTTCTCCCAGTAGGAGCGCTCGATCAGAGTGACAACTCGACCGGGTGCCTCTGGCGTACCACGGTGGTCCTCGCTAAGAATAAGCCAAAAGATTGAAATCAAACAGTCGTCGCCATGATGTAGGACAAGGCGAAGTGTGAAACCAACCTTGCCTGGTGGAGGAGGATATGTATGTGTAAGCAGAGACTCAAAGGCGGGGGTGATTTGGACAACGAGAGGGAGTGTTTCTTCGAACATACCTGCCAGAATCTCCTGACATAACCATTGACCCAGCCCGGAACCCTTCTATCTGGTGTCGCATATAGAAGATACGGTTAGTCGACATTGGTGCAGATGCACGGGGTTGTTATGGAGGGGCACGGCATGTACATACCAAAATGTGGCGGTGGTTTCCATATGAGACTCCTGCAATCAATTGATAGTCGGCGCAATTAGCTGTAGGAGCAGACGAAGCAGATAGGACCGAAGTGGCTTACCCGTAGCCGTAGAGCCAAAACTCGGATGCAGCGTCGTCATTTGTCGTGTTGGCTGTGGCGGGCATGGTGGTCTTTGCTACAGCCAGAGAAGATGGGATATGACGAGATGTCGAAGTACGGAGGAGTTGAAGCGCCGGTGGTGGTCATTGCAGGGGACCAGGCTCAATGTTGGGTACTGTTGCCGACCGCGTGGGGGGCCGTGGCGGATCTGTTAGTCAGGGCCGGCGGCGTTTCGGCGGCACCAAACATGATGTCCAGTCTGGTGGGGCAGCGACTTCGATACGCGGTGGGAAGGGGAAAGCACGACCCATGGTCCATCATCGTCCACGTCGCCAATATCAGCACCACCACACCAGTCATGATGGTGAAATTATGATGATTGATGCATACATCGACGGTCCTGCGCGTAAATTGGTGTAATATGAGGCGAGGGAGGAAGCGCCGTTGTTGTTCGCCGTCTGCCGCGCTCAACTGATGCCTTGATTAGTTGGGCAAACATAAAACCGTTTCTTGATTCAATTCAATTGGTGAACCAACCCGTCGACAACGTGCTGGAAACCTGGGGCTACCGTGATGGTACTCCGTACTCTGTGAGACGTCAACATGGTGTCCTGGCAGCCTCCGTCCGAGAATATTTTTCCTAGGTCCAAGGTACTAGGTACCTACCCTTGGCACTCTAGGTGACGCAGGTGCTCCATACCTACCTAGGTAGGTACTTAAGTACTGTTCGGAGCAATAGTAGCTGGGGCTGACAATGACATTTCGATTCAAACCGTTGACATCTCAGCCTCAAACCTCCAGCCTGAATCAGCCGTGCCGCTTGTCCATTTGTATAAACTCCATTCGGCACCTCGCCATCTCCCTCATTTCTGCCCCGGCGCTGGCCATCTTCGTACCGCACCAACCAGTGGACTGCATCATGGCATACAACAGACCCTTCGACCCTGATGCCTTGCCCAGGTACGCATTCGACCCCTCATCGCCACTTCGCCCTGCCGCACCACAACATCAGGACCAGACGAAATTTAGGATAGTTTGTTAACGCTCTCTTTCTCCTTTGCGCAAGGTTTGCCGAGCCCGAACGAGTAAGTCATTCACTCTATTCCATCTTCTCTTCGTTCAGTTTTTCTCCCCCTTGAAACAGTCTGCCTATGCACGCGTAGAGAAGAAGCTCTCTAGATCGTGCTCTACGCGTTGGAAGCCCTCATGTTAACAAAACCCCTCTTCACAACATCTCTAGAAGTCTGCATCCTCGCCGCCGCAGACATATCAGCAAAACCGTTACGAAAAGAAACCTCCTCCCGCAACCCCGAGAGCCAATTACCCTCCACCACATCCCCAGCCAACTCATAGTCAAACCTTTAACACCAGCAGTAGCCATGGACCTGGGCCGGCCGCACCTCGACCTGCTTCCCAGCCTCAAAGTCGCCCACCACAACAACAGAATTACTCGGCGGCCCCGCCAACTCCAGATGCTGCATCCTCAGGCTCTGACTCGACACTGCTACCGCTCTTCCGAGCTGTGGATAAAGATGGTAAGTTTTCCTTACGGGAAGAATAGATACGTCGACACGTAACCCCTGTTGGTTTTTCTGAAGGACCATTCGACAAAACCCAAAAAGAAAAAAAAAGCCTCTTTTCATGACATTATTCGGCTGACATATAACTAGGGACTGGCCAGCTCTCTGAAAAGGAGCTCTCGGCAGCTCTCGTGAATGGTGACTGGACAGCGTTTGACATACAAACTGTCCGAATGATGATCCGCATGTTTGACTCTGATCGCAGTGGCACCATCAACTTTGAAGAGTTCTGTGGACTATGGTCCTTCCTTGCCTCTTGGCGCACTCTATTTGATCGCTTCGATGTCGACCGCAGCGGAAACATATCTCTCCAGGAGTTCACCGATGCTCTCATCGCATTCCGCTACCGCCTCAGCCCCCAGTTTGTCGAATTACTCTTCCGCACCTATGATAAGCGCAACGAGGGCGTCATGAGTTTCGATCTATTCGTACAGAGCTGCATCTCGCTCAAGCGCATGACGGACGTTTTTAAAAAGTACGATGACGATCGAGATGGATTCATCACGCTGAGTTTCGAAGACTTTCTGAGCGAAATCTTGAGGCAGCTGAAGTAGAGGGTATCTGAGCAAAGCGGTAGTATTGAGGTGGTTAAGTGGGAATATACCATTAAACGCAATGATTGGAATTGGGATGTCTACATAGCTAGATAGTTTGCATTGGGCGGGTGGTTGGTTAATGATCAAGCTTTTGGGTTGGATGATACTCACGAACCGAGAGATGAACCGTTCTGAAAACTAAAAGGATGTGGCGTAGTGAGATAATATCGCTCTCGCTTTTTTTTTTTTTTTTTTTTTTTTTTTTTTTTATTTTTTTTTTTTTTTTTTTTTTTTTTTTTTTTTTTTTTTTTTTTTTTTTTTTTTTTTTTTTTTTTTTCTTATCTTACGGGAGGAAAATATTTCCAATGCCTGCGAACCGTTCTGAAAACTAAAAGGATGTGGCGTAGTGAGATAATATCGCTCTCGCTTTTTTTTTTTTTTTTTTTTTTTTTTTTTTTTTTTTTAATATCCCCCCCTCTTTTTTTTTTTTTTTTTTTTTTTCTTATCTTACGGGAGGAAAATATTTCCAATACCTGCATGGATCTAGAGGGAGGTGAAAGCCACAATTTGATACTAATAGTATTGGGTACTAAATGCCATGAGTAAATTCAAGCTTCTGGCTAAAAACATAAAGTACGGCCGAGTATGTGTGGCATGAAGACGCAAGGTGTAAAGGAGTATCGCATCATGAATTCCGCGGGCGATGGCAACGCCAACGAAACGCACTCCAGGGAGGCATATCAGGGCAACACAGGCTGAATAGTAGGGCAGCCTTGAATATTTCAAGCCAGAAACCTACTCGGCCAGAGTTTACTCACCCTAAACGGCGAGCCTATACTTTCTCCGGTGGCATTGGCATAAAGCAAATGGGGAATAGTCAGATGACGACGATTCAGGCAGCCTGGTCCTAGGGGAGACGGCGCTTCAGTGGTCCACACCCCGTCACTCGTCAGAGAGACTTGCTCGCCAATATTCAACGTCATTATTTCCGTGGGCCTGTCCATCTTTCCGCAGCGTCTGGAACTCGGTCTGCGGGTGTTGTGGAGGCCAGCCGTCGCACCGTGGACAAAGTTGCGCACCTCGTGTGTCTTGTACTTCTTCCTCCGGGTCAACCGCCTAGCTAGGCCTCTAAGGAGTTTGTCTCCGTCATATGTGCTGATCCAGGCTCTTGCGCCAAGCTTGGCTATGATCTCCTGGCCGTGATGAAAGCCACTCGTGACGTTGCCGCCGAGCCACCAGGGCTGGGAGACGGCATCGAAGCAGTGTAGAAGGGCTGTGAGCGGCAGCGCAGCCTCGGAGACAAGGTGTGACGTTGCGTATCCCTCGATGGCGCCGTAGGAGATGCCGTGGGGGGAAAATATCACGGATAGCCCAGACACCCTCCTGTTCTGGGGGTGGGAGAGAGTGGTCAAAGACCGGCCTGCCTTTGACGGGTGAGGGACCGGGCTTTCGGTGTGTATAAGGCGTGGAAAAGCCGGGAGAGGCGGTAAAATAGGCGTCTCGAGGGGCTCAGGAGTGCATAGCTCAACTGGGCTCGTTGTGCGCGAGGCAAAATCCAGCGAAGGGGTTGAGAGGGGAGTGGAAGCCGTGGTCACCGGCGGTTGGGAGATTGATAATGGTGCTGGCCTGTACGTTATCCCTATTGCCGAATCAAGCCCTTTCCTACTTCTTCCTCGGGAGATGAGAGAAACAGTCACGAGCCCTTTGTCCCCTCCAGCGACACCAGGGCGTATTGGTATTCGGATGACGGTGTCTCGACCGCTTTGTCGGGGGTCCTGCCATCGCTGAAGGGTCAAAATTTTCCTGTCATCGAAATACCTCCAGCTTCGGATCTGTTTCGCAGCAGTAGGCTCCGCTAATATAATCGTCTTCGTGCCGCGAGGAGCAAGTTGCCGAAGAGTAGCCTCATTGCAATGGTCGCTGCGACCGTTACTGACAATAACTAAATCAGGCTCAGGTAGGTCTCGCAGCGTTGAGACGCAGGCTCCCTGAACATGCGTCGTCGAAGAAAATCTGGAGTGCAAGATATTTGACGGCCCTACAAGCCACGGATCGAGGAGAATTCGGAACAGTCCGGGCATACTTGCACCATCGGGAAAGTCAGACTGAACGGGTTCAAACGTAAGCAAAAACGATGCATCTCCATTGAGCTGTCTAATGTTCAGTGCCATGTTCGGGGTTTGTAGGCTTGATTCGAGGCCCGAGGAGGCTCTTGCCAGGGCTGAGAAAGGGCCAGAGAATGACAGTTGCGCGTAGGCAGATCTTATGAGTCTGGGATTTGGCACATACTGCCTGGGCTGTCAAAACATTGATAAAGACTTGTGCAGTGTGTTTCACAATTGGCATTACGGACAACATTGACTCTGTGCGTGAAGCAAGTTCTGTCAGTATATTGGTATGGGAGGGTCGATCCGGCCACCGAAGAGACAGGTCTCGTTTGGAACCGCTAGAGAACCATGGCCAACACTCTTCACAACGTTCATCAGACTCGCCTAACCACCAAATGAACGTTTGATTCCATTTCGAGCCACGCTGTGAGATGCGCCACCTGAAGTGTTTCCCAAATCAGCCCTCTTGATGATCCGATCAAGACAGTACGCGCAACACGCTCGTCCCGACAGTCAAGGAATTCAACGTGGGAGCTGCAACAGGAGGCTTTGATGATGACGAGAAAATAACTGCAAATGACATGGCAACACATTCACATACCAGAGTAGCTAGTTGCATTTTGGTCAGCAACATACCAGTCGGACTCCCAGACCTACTTTGTCCTAGGAACTCCATTGCGCCTCTCGCCCTCCAAGTTGGGCTCATGTCAACGAGCAGGAGACATGCAAATTATATAAAAATGATATCATTGTGCAATGCCGTTAGGCCTGAATGTATGTATAGCCTGGGGGTTTGCAAATGAGGTTGTGTAAGCTGGTTGCTGCGATGGTTGACGAGAAGGCTTCCAGCTGTCCGTCCCTGCATCAACATTTGCAGCACTGGCATCTGCTCACGGAAAATGTACTTGACGGCAAAAATATGTAAGGATTCGGACTCGAAACCTTGGCGCGCTGAATGTGGTCAAGTCAACTGCGCCTAGTTGACCGCCCAGGCCTCAATGCCGTATCCCAGGCTGGCGATTATGAACATTGAAGGAATGATGAAGTATTTTAGGAACGTCACACAATCACTTGAGCTCCCGAAGGATGCCCCACCTGGCCTGGAGGGGCGGGGCTGCATTGGTGTCATCAGCCGGGCTTCAATGCTCCGACCAAGGGCCCTGCTTGCACCCCCGGGCCCATGCAGCCTCGTCCCCCCCTCCACAAGTCACACACGCGGGGTCACCGCCTGGCAGTTCAACTTGCGATAAAGCTGTCAGCTGGGCTTATCTATCCTGGCCTGAGTACTTGGCGGAGAGACCGTCCAAGGCTGCTTGGTTCACAATACCGAGCACTGCTTCTGACTGACGAGGACAAACGATTAATGACGGCGGTGACGAGCCCCGAAAACATACCCATAGCATCTTGGGTTCAGGGAACAACTTGTTTACCGGACCCAGATCTCCTCTAGATGTCGTAAAGAGCGGCAGCTTGTGTCCATGCCTCTGAGTTGTCAAATGCGACACACCACGGTGATAATAGCGGTGGGCAGCTGGAGACATCAACTGCCTAGAACAAGGTCTGGTTGGCAGGCACTGGAGGCCCTAGCGAGGTCCAGCACTGGGTCTGGTGCCTCGTAGCCGCATAGCCTCGCTATCGATGGATGAAAAAGTGATATCAGCGGTGCTGGACAGTGTGACTGGCAACATTGAACACTCTGAGCGTTGAGCTCTCGAGTGAACTTGGCAGCTTCGACCCAATCCAGCCAGCCCAGCCCCTTGCACCACCCCCATCCATCCATCATCCATCCCGACGCCCTGGAACGCCGCGGCGATTGGGTTGAACTCGAGACAAGCCATCCCTCCTTCATAATGATCCAGGGGTAGTGGCAGAGGGTGATTGCCATTGTGTCGCGGTGAAACACTAACTGAGAAGAACAGACGAGAAGTACGACGCAGTGCCAGCACCGATAACAGTCAGCGTAACCCATTATCAGCCTGCGAAGCTTAATACTCGACAAATCTGCCCAAACCGACGCCTTACCAGCCAGGGAACCGATGGCTATGGACTTGCCCTTGTGCACCACCAACCAGCCAGCCGGAAGTACTCTAGCCGTTGAGTCGGAAAGTCTGCTAGAGCTTTGGCTGTTGATTCTGTCTGGTCGGACCCGCCGGTTGATGACCTGCTTTAAGCCCAAAAAGGCATGCCATGTTGGTCTTCGACTGCCGGAAGCTGTTTGGTACTAGAGACGAGAAGTAGAGCTGTTCTGTTGGCTCTGCTGGCCCACCATTTGTCGGGACCACATGCTAAGTACTTACTCTGGTCTCTGCATGACAGCAAAGGGTCCTCTCGAAGTTGACCAGGGTCGACTTTGTCCACATGAACGCTATCGAAGGTTGGCAGGGGCAGTTGGGAGCAACTGGACAACATGAGGACTCGCCCTACTGCGGTTCTTTGACACAAGTTGTCAATGCCAGCATCAACTGCGCCGTCGCGCTTCAGATGGTGGTCCCAATGAAAGCCGCCAGTGCATAGACCATGCGCTCGCGTGCTCGAGTAAGGTAGGGGAGGGAACATGACCCGACAAGTCTGACCGCGGGCTGCTGATCTTCTTGAACCGTTCGTTGGCTTCTTTGCCGCTCTCGGTTCTTGGTTCTCTCACTCCGCTGCTGAGCCTCGAGATGCTAACACAGGACGACTCGGTGCTCTGCAATACATACCTAGGTACGTACTCCGTACATGCATATCTCTCAACTGCCCTTGCCCCACGCAGGTCCACCAGTTGTCGCCACCGCAAAGTCGCAGCTCCAGCATTAGTATTGCTTGTGTAAAGCATCCTGTGACGTAGAATTCGAATTGACAGGGTACATGATGTACTGCTGCCCGTCATTTGCCGCCCACATGCATCTTGGGACTCCAGACTGATGGAGCATTGCGACGGACCCGTAGACGCTGAAGCTGCTAAGGAGCTGGGGGAGCTGGTCATCAGCTCTTGATGAGAGAAGCTAGGGCAAGCTCCATCGAGAGCTCGGCAAACTGGGGTATTTATTCATGGCTTGATAACAATTCATTTGTTCTCTGCCATGCGCTCAGCAGCCACTTATTGCCGAGGATGTTGAAGGCGGAAGACAGCGCAGCCAACGACCTGTAAGCTAACAGCGACGAGAGAATAATAAATAGGTAGGGATCAAAACTTATTCTTTTGATGGCTTTCGGCGGCTCCAAATGGACTAGGCGCGGAATTCGACGTCGGGACCCGCCACCATCAGCATGTCCGAGTCAGTCCGAGTGTACGGAGCACGGAACATTGAATAGATGAAATTCCAGACGTATTGTAGCGCTGATGAATAGCAGAACGGAGGGCTGTACAATGTGTCCGTAGACTCGGAGTAGACGTTTTGCGATTTGCTAGCATTGATGTTCAGGGCGCTTCAAGTGTTTGCGCCAGACGCCTCCTGGACGCCTTGACCATCCACAAGGTTCATCAGAGCGTCCTGTCCGTCTGGTCTTGTCTTCAGTTGCACTGGCGGGCTCTGGCCATGGGCAAAGGCAGCGAGAAGACGAGAGCTTGTGGCGGATTCTGGGCTGACCGGCCGGGTGAAGCTCCATCCCGCTGCCCACGCACCAGTCAACCCATTCGCCATTCAACCACCGCTTGGCTCTTATTCGGCGGACATTTTACTGGTCTTTTCCATATGGAGTTTGGTATCAAGGAGCTTCCTATTGGCCACACGAGCCCAACATCTACCCTCCCCAGCTGGATCTGGACCCTCCGTCTCCTTCCTTGACCCTGAGGAGGGCAACTGGCTGCATCGAAGACGCAGCTCGCCGTCGGTACTAGCTCCCCTTCATTACTCGAGCATAAGGGGCGGGGGGGTTGAGGGCCAAACGGAGGAGTGAGAGAAAACCTCGAGCCTCCAGCGCTTTGCCCACTAACTCGGAACTACATGACTTAATTGCGGCGCTACTTGTCAGAAGGTCAATTGGCGCGGGCTGGTCTTTGACGCTGGTCTTCGACACTGGTCTTGACGACGGGCCCAAGCTTCACGCTGAGACGCCAGGACGCTGGCCACTGGGACGCCGAGACGAGACCGCAGGGCCGGCCAGACCGCAGCTGTGCAGCAGGCCAAGCTACCAGACGGAGTACAAGGTCGACGGACGGCGAACGACAGTCGACATTCGCAGTTCGGCCACTAGCTTGCCCACCTCGATCCATGTCGAATGCTCCCACTTCGCACCTCGACCGGCCCTCGCAACTTCCACCTCCATCTTCTAAAGTTCGCCTGCGCCCGAAGCGATCAAATTTGCCTGCTCCCGCACAAACTCTCCCTCCTCCCCGCGGTTATGGGTTAACACCCATCTGAAGTAGATCGCCCACCACCACCCCAGGCAGGGACCGAGGGCCAGGGCAATTCCTTCATCGCCCATCGCCCGTCGACTTCATCAGCGTCCCCACCTGCTTGCTCTCAGCTGCTTCCTCCTCCCCTCACGAGCTCGTCTTGCTCTCAAATTGCCCTTTATATTCTAAAGTTCCCTAACTCGCCCTTCTCACCGAAGCCAACCTCCCAGCTCAGCCTAGTATTGTTGCGGTTCATATACTTGCCTGACACCGGCAGGAGCTTCCTCGAACCTTCCTGGCAGCCACAACCACAACCTGCAACCTGCAACCTGCAACTTACGGACCTGCGACCTGCCATCTTCACCTTCTACCTGGTCCTTGCTGATTTTCTACTATCATACCTACCGAACCTCGAGATTGTATTTGCCACCACTCGACACTCATCCGGGGGCCTGACTGCTGTCAACATTGAAGGGTTTAGACGCCAAGATTCCTTCTGCACATATTGTCACTTTGCAAAACTGCATTTCGGCATTCCGAAGCTGTATCCATCTGGTCAGAGCCTCCGTGGGCTCAAGCTCTACATCATTGTTAACACCGCTCAACCGTCCAAGGAAATACTACTTGGTCAGCCAATACATCTACTCTTTTGGCTTTTGCCACCGACATACGTTCAATTTACTAGCTTTCCGATATTCGCTTTATCTTGAGACATCCGATCCACGTCCCAGCTCCCACGCCCACTCTTACAAGCTGCATCTTCACAAGGGTCAAGGTTGGCCAACCAAAAGCTTACTGCGCGAGCCTAAAATCCTCGCAGCATTGAATTCTCTTCCCTTTCAGACCTTTTTCCCTCGTCTCCCACTTCAATACTTAATTTCGCTGTCGTTTCAAGCAGTTGCAGAGCTCTGATCACGCAGTTCATCGTCATCAGACTTGCCGGCTTGGCTCTGCATTGACGGAGACTCTCTCAATAAGCTGCCGCCTCTGTCGGCCACGTTAATTTTTTTTTAACAAGCCGCTATTGGTATCTGCAGTAGCTTTGACTCGATTCATCTATTCATAACCCTGCGATGCCAAAGCTTGGCATAGTTTCTATTTTGTCAATTGACAGACTTTAGAGCTCTAATTATTTGGCTTCTCGCACCAGCTTTTTGTTCCCCACGGCGAACCTGCTCCAGGCGCATGGTGGGGTCAATCAAGATGCCGCCTCGAACGTCGTTGACATCGTCCTTTTCAATCACTGACGCCAATAATGAGGTTGTCTGCCCGCTTCGCAATCAAGATGGTTCAAGCTGTCGCAAGCGATGCATTGGCGTAAGTACTCACTCCCCGCTGCCCTGGCCCCATCCTGATCCCTCGTTGCAATCTATCCCGAGGGTGCCGTGAACCTCATTACAGACGCCAAGCAGCCATCGTTTTGAGGCACACTCCGTCCAACGTCTCATCCTCAGCTTCAAACGTGCCCCTTTCTGGGCTGTGTGTTTCTCCAGATTTAACATGTCTTGTCTTGGCTTAGGAGAAACGTTACCGCTCAATGCAGGAGCACATTCGCCGGGCTCACCCGGAGCATTACATTCCTAAGCTTCCTGCCACAGAAGAAAGCTTCCTGCTCATGATCAACTCTCCGCCCTCGGAACATCGAGCTGACCAAGCTCCTACTTCAACTCCACAGAGTTTGTCTCTCCTGTCTTGCCTGATTTTACAAACGACGGACCGCAAGTTGCTAATACCCACCACCGCACAGGTGCCCATGACCGACGAAATTACTACCGCGATGGCTCTAGCAACCCCGGTACCCCTCGCCACAGTGATGAATATACGACGAGCGGCGGTGGCTCAATGCTTGGGGCTGCAAATGCCGCAGCAGCTCTAGCAGAACTGCATGGCGTTAAGTCGGAGAGAGATGTGGAAGTGGATGTAAGTCATTCTGTGCTCGCTTCCAAATCCCCCTGATCGATTGCTTGGCTCCACAAGGGCGAACTGACATTCTTGGCCACTATCGCCTGGTTGTACTAGGGCTACTATTCAGATTCCGATGGCCGCCGCATTCCTCGGACATCGATTGAACTGCCCCCGCTGCATTTGTCTAATAACGATGTTACGAGCGATCCGTATACGTCCAATGTAAATCGACAGCGAGAAATCCTTCCGTCGCTGCTTGCAAACTCGCCTCCAGGCCGATCTTCCACCCTCCCTCCTCTGCAGAGGCCATTAGGCCCCAATCGCCCACGAAAGCAATCAATAACGAAGCGTGGACGCGAATCCAATCACAAAAAGAAGAGCTCGCGCGGATCTGCTGCTGATTGGATTCGGCGCTTCCAAAACGAAGATCGATTCAGACCTGCCAACGACCGCAAAGCCTTGTCGGCAGAGCCATCGGCGGACTTTGGTAAACGATGGGAGGATCTGATCGACGCTGCGGACCAAGCTGCATCTGCTGCCGGTGACTTGGAGGAAGATCGCACTCCAGTAAGCCTGACAATTATAAATGCCTACAGGGACTGGCGAAGCCACTAACGCTACCGAAGGTACCGCAGTCTCCAGTATCAATTCATCGAGCGTCCTTGCCACCATTCTCTCACCAATTTCAACCTGGGAGCTACCAAGCATCCCCATTGCAGCAAGCTCTGACACCGCCCTCGTATAATCAAGATAGTATCGATCCCTTTCCGTCCGTCGAGAGTGGCGAGAGCGGCGAGAATTTCCACATCGGATCCCGTGGTCTGAACGATTCATCGCCCACCTACTCGTCGCAGAACACGCAGATTTACTGTGCAGCTTGCCAAAATGCGTCGCTGCTTAAGAGCTCCTACGCCTGTACCGAATGCATTTGTGGCTTATGTTCAGCATGTGTTGAGGTGCTCATGGCAGAACTTGGAGCCCGGAGGAAGTGCCCACGCTGTGCTACCATCGGCGGCCGGTTCAAGCCTTTCCAGCTCGACATCAGATGAATGACTCTGTGACGGTTAAGACCCTTTTATGATTCTGATTATTTTGTTGTTGTTTTACCCGTCCTCTCTATCTTGCGTGCGCCTTAAAATTGAGGATGAAGATGGAGCAAATGTCTGCACTGATGCCTCGGCGTATAATGGGGGATCATAACCACCATACAGGTTTTTCATCTAACATTGATTGTTCCTCTCGGGAGTCTTATCATTCATTTCTTTTTATCCTGGGTTGCTTGGTTTCTTTTCGACACATTTGGCTTGTCAACTATCACAAAGTTGTCCAGGGTTCATGGCACCTGCCGATACAACCGCCAGTGCCCCGCTTCAAAGGACTTCATTTTTTTTGCCCCGTAAGTTTCTGTTACAATGGATGTTGGCGTTTAGCAACGGGATAAAACGGACCGTTGGATATCGGATACCGGTTGGGTGGCTTTTTCGTTTGATATCTGACGATCTATGTTGGCTCATTGCAAAGTCATGGGTATGATTTTACTGTTAATGCTAAGACGATGCCCCGATCATTCATGCTAGGTTCTGTCGTACTTGAATACACTTTTTCTTGGTATAAACCACTTTTTGCACGTGGAAAACTGATTAAACGTGGGTTTTGATTACGTCGCCAACGTTTATGTAGCAAATCCACCTGTACCGATACCAAACCCTGCCAACTCCTGTGCCGCTGCCGTGTGGAAAATACATGTATCCAAATTCAAATCGGACTGCAAACCATGACATGTTCATGGCCGCCTCCCAGCTTTCTCTTGTTTCTCTCTCTCCTGCTTCTGCTTGAGTAATATATCCCTCGCAGCGGCCCTCACATTCCGACTGCCCCCCAACTTTGGGCCCCGGAGCACGTCGGCTTGCTGCTGCTGCTGCTGCTGCTGCTGCTTTGCCGTCAGTGCCGGGCGCCTCTTCAGCCGCCGCGCGGCCACCTCTTCTATGTACCGTTGGCGAAATTCATCTGCCACGAGCGATC